AGATTTCCCATAAAGCTTTTCGAAAAACAACGCCCGCTTGTCCAGTGCCCAATAGAAATTGTAAAAGGTTTTAAAAGTTGTCCTGTCGTTTTTTTTGTAAAGTAATAACAGATTACTGTAGCCGGTAATGGGTTATTACTGTATTGATTAGATAAATATTTTTGTGTTTCTAGAATCGCGGAAGACAAGCTACGATGCGGTGCTTCAATGGCTATTTCGAGATCGTCCGAGCAGTCCGGCTCCGCGATATAGAGGTGAGAATGGGGAAGAGAATGCGGAAGAGAATGGGAATCTTACATCCAACTCTACCGTAATCCATTAAGCTACGGAGTTGGATGTAAGATAGGAAATGTCGAAAAAGAGGAGAATAAATTAGCCATGACAAATGGGTCATACCTTTTCTTTTCAGAAGGACACGACGGTGGGGCAACGCTTTCCCCTGGCCACCATTCATTCGCAACGAGCTCTGGTCAGTGAATGCAAACTCAAATTTATACCTCGAATTCTATAGCTTAAAAGCTGTATTGTGATAACGATAAGTGTTCTAACTAATCAAACTAGATCACTTGCAGGACCGGCATCAAAGCGAAGTCGTCACGAAGTCGACTACCCCTCACCCTCCGGCCCCCATTCCGTCCCCGCTCCAATCACCGCAATCCGGCCTAGAACCGACTCATTTGGAGGCTCATCAACAACTAGAGAATCAAACACAAAGGAATCACCAACTGGAGTATCAAGGGGTCAGCTCAACGCTTTTAATGCCTTCAAAGATGACTTTATTTAAAAATGAGAAGCAAGATTTGCAATTGATTTGCTTGCAATTACTAGAGAACTGTTTCAAGTTAGCAAATGAACACTTTGTTGTTTTAACTCGTTCTTTCTAGGCTCAGCCCAACCCTCTCACTCGGGCTACTCCCCATTGGCCGAGGGTCTTGCCGATTGTGCTTTGCGGTCTCCAATCGATCCCCTCTCCCCTCAACACACGAGAATTATGGTAAATGATAAAAGAGAGCAATACTACTAATATTCGATCAATCTATCATGCTTCTAATACCGTTTTCAGGGAGACAACCAATTCCAAATGGGAAGATCAATTGGTGGCGGATCCAATGGAATTGATGCAACCGCACACCGCCCACGAGGTCTTCCCGCCGTTTCATCAAATGGTTTGAAGAATTTTTGAGGAATTTCAAGTGATCAAATTAAAGTCATGTCCATGATCTTTTGACCTGCACTTTGGACAGGTCAATCAGCACAGAAATTGCTTTGCTTAGGTTGAGATTAGCCATGGAAAGTGGCTCTAGGACCAGCCCTGAATGCATTTGATGTAAAAACATAGCTCTATGTACTAGAGTTGCTATTTGATCGAAATTCTATCGAATTCGATCGGATTTTCCTGAAGATTTGTTGATTTTGATCGGCTAATTTGCATTTTAAATCAAAAAAATAGATAATACAAATGAAAACTGAAATTGCAGGCACTCACCCACTGCTCGCCCCTCACTCGCGGGGGTCCGTGTTCCCCGCTCTGTCTCCTTCCACTCCTCTTCATCAAACGATCCCCACCACTTCCGCAAATCACCAGCAACTCATCAATGGTGATCAACGGAAAGAAGCAATTCTCCAAGAAAGAGCCGATGCCGTCAATAAAGCCCTTGCGGATCTAGGTGAGTTTTCGATTTTGACGGACTTTGAGATAAGTGAAGCCCTATTACAGTAGACCAAATGCAACTTTCAATTTGATAATTGCAGATTTTCCCTTCGAAGATCTCCACAGTGTCGCTCCATTCGTGCCCCAAGAAGAGCTGCAACCAATCTCCGAATCAGTGGCCAAAGATTTCCAAACGCTTTTCCCCGATTTGCCCGATTGGACACCAACCGAACCAGTCGCCTCAGCTGGAAGAATGGCAAAAGTTGATGAAGATGGAGTGGATGAGGATGCGAATCAAAATGGTCAGTTTTCTTTCAATGAATCGTATGATTCAAGCACTTTCTCAGCAATCTCTTTGTCCACTTTGAAACTTTGAACAAAAAATGACTCTATTCAATTGAGTATTGCTGAATTCGATCTGATTCGATTTCAGCTGACGGTCCCTCCTCGAAACGTGTCTTCTACCCATCACCTCCGACTGCATCTTCATCTTCCCTCCCCTCAATCCCCTCTTCATCTTCATCTTCATCTTCCTCATCCGTTTTTCCATCTCAGCCCTCCAATTCCGCTCATCATTTTGTCCCGCAATCACCGCAAATTCTCCCGTCACCGTCAAGGAATTCACAAAATGGTGAGTACCAGATTACTGGTAAGTGACCAAAGACTTTTAAGACCACTTAAGAGTTGAGCATTTTGAAACAATGATTTGCATAAGCCTTGAAAGCTAAATGTCTCTATTTTAACCGTTTTGAGTCATCTTTTCTTACTTTTGATATAAACTCGGGCAGAAAATGAAAACCAAAGCTTGTAAATAAGTGAAAAATGCAAAAATCCGATCTCCAAATTTTCAGGTGTTTTCCCAGCACAAAACGGTGCGCCAATGTTCTTCAATGGGTTGTCCCATTTCTCAGCGAATTCTCAGCAAAATCAATCGAATTGGCCACTTCATCAGACTACCGTAATCCCCCAAAATATCCAATCGATTCCCCATCATCGTTTCCCTCAAAATCCCCTGCAAATCCCTAACCAATGGGTAAATAATCCACAGATTGTCCATCGAATTTGAGTTTGAAAAGAAAACTTTCGACTGTCAAGACTTTCTTTTCAAAAGCTTTAGTTTCAATTTGTTTTTTTTTTAATTTTGCCATTTTCTCGATCTCTTTATTGTTATTTTGAGAAAATTTGACACTTATCCGATCTTTTGAAACATTTGTTAGTAATCTTTGTTAGTAATGCTAAATAGTTCTTTTAGGGGTACTGTAAAGCTCTAGTTCCTTACTACAGTACTCTAAAAATATGCTCTAGTTTTATCCCGGGTTTACTGTAGTGAGTGAAACATTTAGGTGTACTGTAATCGAACCCTACAGTCCCCTAAATATTTTCCGAACGAAAAAAAGTTGGGTAGAAAAATTGTCAATTTTCACGCATTGTTTTCTCATTAAAATTTTCATTTCAAAATTATTTTTCATTTTTTTGAAACACGCTAATTTCCCTCTCTTTTCACCTCTCGAAATCCACAAAAAAACGAAATTTTATCGGGTTCTTATTTCTAAAGCAAGGTATTTTTAATTTTTAAACTTGAAAAACATTTCCTTGAGATTCTGGTGCATTTTTCGTGTTTTCCCGAGTGACTATTCTGCATTTTTCCTCAGAATTTCCCCCTAGATTCGATGTTGCTGATTGAATAAAAGTTCTAGGAATTTCTATGAACTTTGAAAAAAGCCCATTTAAATAGAATAGCCCATATAAAAGAATAATTTCATTGAGTTGCATTGAGTAACTTTTTACGCTGAACAAAGACAAACAAGCATCTACAAGCAAATCAATCAAAAAAAGGCAAAAACAAAAATCAAAGCTAGGTACTTATGGGTTTCACCCTACTCTTAGAGTCTGTTACCTAGGCCAGCTCTTAGCCATCCCCTGCTTTCAGGGGTACCCACTGCTCACCACGGGGAGGTGGTTTCATGGAATATCAGTGAGTCCCTTTGCTTTCATAAATAGATAAAACTTTCCAAATGGAATCTTTTTTCGACTGCGAGATCAATGGATCACTGAAATTCTACGGAAAGCCAAAAGACCAAATTTGAGATAAACATTAGAATATGATTGCTCGGAATGCATTTCATTGTAAACTTTAGATTGTTTCTTGAATTATCCAAGTCACCAGCACAAAATTTATAAGTAAATGTGATAAGCACTCCAATTGTTTGCATAAGCAAATGTTAAACCCCAAAATATTTATTGAGCTCCTGGAAAACGATTTATTGGCACGAATTGAGTGGAGAAGGCCCATAGGGTGGCTATTCTGTGAAACATCCATCATTCCTCGTCAGCGGTCAAGCGACGCTTCTTCTAAAGATCTTGATAACATAACAAAGATTGATACGTCAAAAATCTTTTCAATAGCTCGAATGACTCGGCTTTTCCCACAACTGCTGCCCTTTCATGCGCTATTTTCATTGATCGAAACAATAATATTTATGGAAAATAACACTGCATTAAAGAGAACGAATAAAGATCTTTACATCACAATTTTAACTGAGGACTTGAAGTCAGTACGATAAAAACCACACACCTGAAATACTGGATAAATGAGACAAGATATTTATATCTAACAATACATAGGAGAGCAAGAGATATTTAAGTTGAATCGTTCCCCCGATAGGTCGTGGTTGCATTTCTGCCCCTTCCACGCCTTCCCAGTCCTCCTCTCTTTGATTTGGACTGTGCCATCTTTGCTCGTGAAGCTCCTTCATCGTCTGTTGCTAATACATCACTTCCCTAAAGAAGCAATTATCATATGTATTCTCTGGCGTATCTTATTTATAACTTTAGCTTCATTAATCGTTATTGGATATAAAAGGTACCAGGTCGAAGTCCTGATCCGATGAATAATAGTTACTCGAAAAGAGCAATTCTTGATTCAAGCAAAAAAGCACCAGATTTATACTGTAAAACAAAACAAAGGTGCATTGAATGAAGATGATAAAGAAGAGTTTAAAAGATATATTTGTAGCAATAAAATTAACACATTAGCTCATGGATACTATAAGCTTTAAGGCTAATAATTCTAGATTAGTTTAAGATAATAGTCTAACTTTCAAAATTATATTTTATAAAATTCATTCAATCTCATCTTGGCAATGTTAAATGCGACAACTAACATATAAAAAGCAAAACTTTATTGAATCATATACTTACAATACACGAAAAAGTTTACTCTTTGGCAAGACGGAAAGTATAATTATTCCAGTTAACAATCGGCGAGACTTTCAAACATCGCATCGCATCCACACCCAAAATGTTGACGTGTTCAAAATGAGTACCAACTTTGGAGACTTGACAGTCAATGCGGCTGCTTTGGTCCTAAATATTTCGAAAGCATTGATTATCTTAAACAAAAGTAAAACGAACCTGGATTACCATCGGGTAGTAAGCACACTCTGCCACATTTCCTGCACCAAAGAAGGCTTCCAACGTCTTAACAGTGAGGCAAGTAAACGGAGAGGCAGTATCGACCAGACACCACACGTTGATGGCTTTGGAATTGGATTTTCCAGCTCGTTGAAAAACTAGCGGGACCACGAAGCGCGCGTTTTGCTCAATAATTACGCCCCCGACTGGGAACGCGGGAGTAGTGAATGTTCCGGCACTCAAATGCTCGATTTCTTCTGCTCGGCCAATCTATAATTACAAAGTTTAGAAATATTCCTAAAAGAAAATCATACAATCTCCAACTCTTCTTCATCTATGTCCTTGAGCATGCTATCAAACTCATCATATGACATGGCTAACAATTGATCCGAACGATCTTTCCCACTCGAAGATGAAGAAGGCTAAAATTAAATGAATTCAGCATGCAAGCAGTGAAAAAACTGTTTACCTTGTTGTGATCGCTCATGTTCGTTTGTTGAGAAGTAATCTAAAAATCAGTGAATGTATAAAAGGAAAAATGCATATATATGAAAAGAAAACAAGAATATGAGAATTAGCACGGGGGTGGGACAAATGCGACCTTTTTTTGCCCGCCTGGACACTTGCGCACCTTATTTTGCTGGAAAGGCCTTAGAAAGGTCGTAGAGCTTCGAAAATGTTTTCACAGAAGGGAATCGTATGCGTAGATTCCGAATTTCGACAAATCAAAGCAAATCAGACCTCGCTGACACGTTAAATTTGACCTAAAAGGCAAAAACTACGCAACTTAACGCTTTTACGCCGTTTTTGCCTTTTAGCCCAAATTTGACGTGTCAGCGAGGTGTGATTTGTCGAAATTCGGAATCTACGCATACGATTCCCTTCCGTGAAAACATTTTTGAAGCTCTACGACCTTTCCTAAGGCCTTTTCCAGCAAAAAAAAAGGTGCGCAAATGTCCAGGTGCGCAAAAAAGGTCGCATTTGTCCCACCCCCATTAGCACTGAAAGAAAAAAGCTGTATGAATGTATGAAGTTTTATTTATGTTTGGCGAAACGTTCTAAATCGTTGTGGGATCAGCGACGTTTTGAATGTGGTTATGTTGGAAATCAAATTTAGATTTTAAGTAAAGAAAGAAACTTTTAAATACAAAATCAAATGAAAAGATTATCCCACAAAATTATTAATTGAATGATTCAGAAATAATTCGAATTATGAGAAACGCTTAAGTGGGAGTGGATGTGGTTTTGGAATTGTCCTAGGACATTCATTCAAAATTATGGGGGTGGGACAAATGCGACCTTTTTTTTGCGCACCTGGACAAATGCGACCTTTTTTGCGTTGCGGAAACGACTGCGGAAAAGCGTTAAGTTGCGTAGTTTTTGCCTTTTAGCCCAAATTTGACGTGTCAGCGAGGTCTGATTTGCTTTGATTTGTCGAAATTCGGAATCTACGCATACGATTCCTTTCTATAAAAACATTTTTGAAGCTCTAAGGCCTTTTCTGGCAAAAAAAGGTCGCATTTGTCCCACCCCCCAAAATTATTGCTAAAATTATGCTATTTTTTCAAACAAAACCCTAAATATTGACTCAATAAAGATAGTGGGATTTTGGGTTGTCCCAGGTCTGGAGGGGGATGAAAATTGTCCTAGTGATTTTGTATGATAATTTGTTAAATTTAGACCTTTTTGCTTCAGGAATGCTAAAATTGGCATGTGGTTTTGGAGGGTGTGGGGGATTTTGGGCCAGGTCTGGAGGAAGGGCAGTCTTGGAAATTGATTTTATGACATTTTTGATAAAAATATATTGATTTATACCCTATTTTTTGATGTGCAGAATCGGGGGTGGTGGGGCAAAAAAATCGGCTGTCCTAGGTACGCCTACTATATACTACTCTGTTGGAATCGGAAATTTGTGTTTTGATGTTTAAAAGATATAGGTTTAAATCTAGTTTCAAATATGATACGTCAAAAATCTTTTCAATATCTCGAATGACTCGGCTTTTCTCACAACTGCTGCCCTTTCATGTGCTATTTTCATTGATCGAAACAATATTTTTTATGGAAAATAACACTCGATTAAAGAGAACGAATCTTTACATCACAATTTTAACTGAGGACTTGAAGTCAGTTGTACGATAAAAACCACAAAGTACCTGTAATACTGGGTAAATAAGAGAAGATATTTATATCTAACAATACATAAGAGAGCAAGAGGTATTTAAGTTGAATCATTCGCCCGATAGGTCATCGTTGGATTTCTGCCCCTTCCACGCCTTCCCAGTCCTCCTCTCTTTGATTTGGACTGTGCCATCTTTGATCGTGAAGCCCCTTCATCATCTGTTGCTAATTCATCACTTCCCTAAAGAAGCAATTACCATATGTATTCTCTGGCGTATCTTATTTATAACTTAAGCTTTATTAATCGTGAAATATGTTATTGGATATAAAAGGTACCAGGTTGAAGACCTGATCCGATGAATTTGCCTCGTCTTCATCGCCAGAGTCTTTGCTGGCAATGCTTGCCCTATGCTTTTCCTAAAAATGTTTTTTGAAATCATCACCCGAAAGACAAACCTGCTGCCGCTTTGATCGACGAAGTGGAGTCGTCTTTGTTTCCGGCGCTTTCTGAGGCCTCCTGCTGACAAAACTCTAAAATATAATTTTCAATGAAAGTAAACAAATACAAACTCTTCGTGTTTCTTCGTGCTTTTCTTTTGGAATATATTCCCCCCAATCCTCGTCATCCAATTCTTCTACTTCGACAACCCGAGCCGAATAGACGGCTTGAGGCTAAAATGCTTTTAAATGCCATACTAGTATACCAAGTTTACTTAAAGTACCTGTTCAAAAGTCCCTTCAACGCTCAGCGATCGAATTAATTGCCGATGCATGTGAGTTGGCACTTGTGAAACCAATTGAGCGACGGGATTCCCGATGATTGACGTGGAAACGGAAGAAGTTGAGCCTTTGGCCGCCATCGACGTAAGTGCTGTCGTCATGGCTTCCAAAATTAAATTCTTGGTTTTTTATTCTTAATTAAAATATAAAAATCTTAGCTACAATTAAAAAAGAGCAAACTCACTTGTGAAGAGACTACCCGCCGCCCTGAATGCCAGTCGTCCAGTGCTGCTCATAGCTTCATCTATTTGTTTCTCGTGTTTTTTCAAGAAAGGGTAGACCACCTAAATATAAACTATCTTAGAAACATTGCAAAAATAACCTTATCGTAGACAAAATGAGCCCCACCTGTAGATGTCCAAAGCAAGAAAGCTAACTTTATAATCTAAATGAGAAATAAAGAGTACGGAACAAACAATTACTTCGTATCCAGGGACGAGAGACGTAATGTAGAAGAGGTCAGCAATCGCTTCAATTGAAGATACACACGCAAAGATTGTCCAGTATTTGGTGTAGAATTTCTAAATTTGTCCAGTATTTGGTGTAGAATTTCTAAATTTGTCCAGCATTTGCTGTAAATTTTTGAATTATAAAGACTTGAATTTAAAATGGCTTTGCCTATTCATTTGAGTGCTTCGAGGCTAGAGGGTCGCTTAGAACTCCAAAGAGCAAAAAGATACTTATTGTTACTGAATTAAAATCAAGCTAGATCACTTTTAAAGCTATAAGCCTAAATCATACCTGCAGTGGCCCATCTCGCCGTTTCGCCGCTTTGTAGGTGTTGAAGCAGGGAAAGAGCGTGCCGACGATTATCGACCCCACTTTGCACAAAAACGAGAAGACCATCCTGAATCAGACAACTTGTGAATAGAAATAGAATGACATGGAAAGAAATTCAGGCAAAACTAATTCAAATACAGTCATTCAAATACAGATTCAAATACAACCGCAATTTAACGACGCACATCCGCGCGAAAATGTGTTTTCTATAGGATTTTTACGTTTGAATAGCCGATTGACGCAGAAAAATGTGCTGAATCCGAAAATAAAGAATTTTTGAAATCCCTTCGACAAATTTTTTAAAAATCGAGTTTTAGTGATTTTACTGTGTTAAATTTCAGCCATATTTTATTGTCGGAGCAAAATTTTGGAAACAAAAGTCTAAAACAAAAATGTAAACCGCAAGTTTTATTCTACGGGCTTTTCTCTATCTTTTGATACCAAAAGCATAAAAATTGATCAACCCTATGAAAAGTTATAACCTTTTGAAAATAAAAATGTGGTTCCTGGGTTATGGCACACTATAACGCGAATAGATTACCGGAACCAGAAAGAGAAAAAGAGCAAAATGCAACTTTTTTTTGCTACAATCAAACCATTTTCGCTATTTTTCTTCTTTTCAAGATAATGTGTTGATCTCTACGGATTTAAGTAAAGTTGTTTTTTTATGGACAGATGCTTTGCTTTTGAATTTTTCAGGCCTCGACAGGAATTAATCCAAAAGGAATGAGCGCACAGTTTGCAACGGTATATGTTAAAAGTTTTGAAATAACATTTTAAAGTTTATTGAAACAACAGCATTAAAAACAAGATTAATTAAAATGCCCGAGGTCTGATAATAAAATAACCCAGGAACCACATTTTTATTTTCAAAAGGTTATAACTTTTCATAGGGTTGATCAATTTTTATGCTTTTGGTATCAAAAGATAGAGAAAAGCCCGTAGAATAAAACTTGCGGTTTACATTTTTGTTTTAGACTTTTGTTTCCAAAATTTTGCTCCGACAATAAAATATGGCTGAAATTTAACACAGTAAAATCACTAAAACTCGATTTTTAAAAAATTTGTCGAAGGGATTTCAAAAATTCTTTTATTTTCGGATTCAGCACATTTTTCTGCGTCAGTCGGCTATTCAAACGTAAAAATCCTATAAAAAACGATTTTTTTGCCTTATTTCGCGCGGATGTGCGACGTCAATTTTTGGTCCCTTGAAAGCATCTTATAAATACGTTCGATTTAACGATGGAGAATCTCGGTCCCTTGAGAATCGTCAAATCAAGGTTTGACTGTAATGTGAGGTTTTAGTGTACTAAATATGCATTCAGAATCTTAATCCTCAATTGTCGGGGGTTTGGCATTCTGAACCGCTAAACTTATCAGCTCCATCAAAAAGTTGCCTGCGCAATTGAAATTTTTAAAATGTAAAAGATTCTCCAACTTTCAACTTTCGCAAATCAGCTTTCAAGATTTTTGAAAGTTAAGTGGGGAGATCTATTACGACATGAATTGTGTCGTCATTTGTATTGTTGCATTTCCGGTGTTTCGTTTTGATTTCGTGTTTTGTCAGCAAAAGATTGCCATTTTTTTTTAGACTTTTTGAAGTCTTTCTTCTCTGTCAAGCTTCTATGCCAATTTGCAATTTTAGGTGAGATGACTTCACTCACTGTGGTGTGCCCGAATGCGAGACGATGCCCGATCAAGGTCACTCCCGGAAAACTGTTACGTGAGGTTGGTTAGTTTTTTTTGGAAATTTTGCCTTTCAATTTTTTATTTGCTAAAACCTAAATTTTGACACTTGGCGGCTCTTTACAAATGTTTTTGTTTTAGGTTCTTGAAGAGGCTTGTCTCAAGCAGGGCTACAATCCAGAGCAATTCGAGCTCATCCATCAGAAGAAGAGAATCGACTTGTCGCTACCGTTTCGGCTCACTGGACTTCCCAACAATGCTGCCGTTGATCTCCGAGAAAAGGATAACATCCAAGAAACCATAGTGGAAATTGCTCTACAGGTAGTCAGTCGTGTAATTTGCAATCTTATGTTTTTAGGGACTTGATGGCAATCGAAAAATTGGCAAATTCTCTCTAGATGCGACTCTGGCGGATATGCTACTCTACTTTTCGAAGGAATTTGAAGACGATCTGCTCAAGTTTGACGAGACTCTTCATCCATCTTGTGCTTTTATGAATAAACAGGTTGGAAACATATTCTTTGTATTAATTGATTTGATTTAGTATCAAGGAAGGAAAGAACTTGAGTGCACGACACTTCGATCGATGGGACTGGGAAGTGGGAAGGTTCTCATCAGGTAAGTAGGCAAAATTCTAAGCAAGATTCGAATAAGTTTTAGGTTTAACAGAATTCCTATGTCAGCTATGGAGGTTGCACAAACTGAAGAAAGAATCGAACAAGGTAAACAATTTCTTAACTTCTTAACTTCTTAACCTCAAGGATTTAGAACGTCGTAAAAAAGAGGCTTTGGCAGCTGAATTTCAGAAGAAACGAGCGGAAAACGAGGAACGGGAAAAGATCGAGAGGGAGAGAATGCAGGTTTGATTCAAGATTCTTGAAAGTTGGATTCGGCTAAAAAGCTTTATGGTTTTTAGAAGTTTGAAGAAGAGCAACGGTTTCTTGAAGAGGAAAAGGTGAAACGAGAAATTGAGGCTGCTAAACAAAAAGCAGAGAACGATGCTAAGAAAAGAGCAGAAAATGCTGCCAGATTGGAATTACATATTATCCAATGACCGTGTTTTAGTTCTCAACCAACCCCGAGCGTGTCAAGGGATGTTATTTCAAATTCGAATCCAAATTCTTGGTCATTTGACCGGTAATTTTAAGTATTTGGTGGTATCACCTATTTTGTTTAGACATCCTTTCCAAGCAGCAATTTCATCTGGACCAGCAAACGATCGCCTCACGTATTTAAACAGCCTTCTCAATAACGTGATTCTTTTATTTTTAAAACTGAAATATAATAATTACGCTTAGGTCGATGCATCTCTTGCCGGACAAACTTCAAACGGTCAGGTGAATAACCTTGTGGAACAATTGGCTTCGGAAGGAAGACTTCATGGTCAACAAAATATGTCGGAACAATACCCATTGATGAATTTTAAAGTTGTTTTTTAAAGATATTTTTGATAACTTGAAATTTAGTTCCCTGAAAAAACAACCGCAATTGAGGATGCAGATATGGACGACCAATCCACTTCAATGACCGCCCAAACCGGCCAAGATATCGAAGCACCTGATCGTCAAAGTGTTTTGTTCACGAAAAGGTATTTAATTTTTTTATTATGCCAACTATTTATCTGCATTCCGAGAATACAATAAAGCTGTTCCGGAAAAACCAGAAGAATCAATGGAAATTGACGAGAAATTTTTCGAAGTTAACGTGGAGGATGTGCGCAATATGCAAAGGGCTTTGAGTGATCAAGTGTCAGTCTTATTATCAAATTTGTTAACTTTTGCATTTTCAGGAAACAGGAGCAACAACGTGCCCTTCTTCCAAAGGCATACATCGAGACGAAAAACCGAGAATTGAAGCTGACTTCTTGGAAAAACACTGTGATAAGAGCTGTGTTGCCAGATCGTCGAGTTCTTCAAGCACGTTTTTATACGAGAGAATCAGTTTTGACTAGCAAATATTTTTTACTTCTATATTTTTAGCTGTTAGAGTTGTGGAATGGATTTCGTCGTTGCTTAAAAATGAGAAGCAAAATGTCTCGATATCGATGGCTTTACATTGTCCTTACGATGCAAGTCCTGAGAAAACACTTATTGATGTGGGCGTCGCTCCATCATCGACGATTTATGTGAAATTTTCACCTCCAATGGCTGCTTGTGGTAATGAATTAGTTTTATTTTTTCAAATGATCACTTGTAGAAGACATTTTCAAAGTTGATTCGGTAAAGGAAGTAACGGAAGAAGAAGCGAATCAATCGAGCAAAGAATGGTGAGCTTTCGATGGTTTTTTAAGAGGTTTTGGGTTTCATTAAGCTTTGTTTTGTCAGGTTGTCAACAAATGAAGCCTACAAGCCATGGGTGGGAACTGTTGGTCCAGAGGCTCCTCGTCCAATGGTGCGAAGACCTGATGAAAATCAAGATGCTGGTCCATCTGTGAAACGTGAGCCACCCATGCTCCCAAAATGGCTCAAGCGATAGCCATTTTTATGTTCAGTATTGTTACTCGGGATTCTCTAATCATGTTTCCCTGTATTTTTGTGTTTTAAGCATTGTGATTCTGGTTTAGTGATACGGTGTTTTCTCCATTGTCAGATAAAGCTTTTTATTTAAAAACGACCGACGTACACTTACTCCTTTCAACTTTCAACCAACTACCCTACAGAGAATTCAAAAGGTGCACTCGAATCGGAAAGCGAATTGGAGAAAAGGAGATTGAAACGCGTAATCGGCTGACCCAGATTGACGAAAAAGCGAAAGAGCGAGCGGCCATGGATGGATCTTGTATTCAGGTAAAACTAATAATAAGCTGATTAGACTGACTAAAAGATGCTCTCGAGAACAACCAACCGTTTTCCTACCGTTTTTTAGCAAAAAGTAAAGTTTCCAGAGTTGCAGCAGCTCATCGCTTGGCTCTCTGTTGATACCAAAGGAACTCAGCAACAATAGCAATCAAGAAAAGGTGAATTCACGAATCAGAATCAAAATCCACTTACAACTGAATTTAGTCCGGTTCCGAGACTCTGTCTTCCGCTTTTTCCTCTTTATCCAATCCATCGTCGAGCAATGAGGGTTCCGAAGCATCAGCCTCACCGAATCGAGTCATCGTTCGAAGTTCGGCTCCGAAAAAGCGAAAGGAAGTGGTCAAGGTGGGAAATGGGGGATTTGCATAAAACTAGAAAGTGTATAAATCTATCTAGCATCATTTGATCATTTCCAGGACGAGTCCTACTGGGAGAAGCGCAAGAAAAACAACGATGCCGCAAAGCGAAGTCGAGATCAACGAAGGATAAAGGTTTGTGAAAAAGTTTCTAGGGTTTTTCAAAAAGCTCATCATATTGGCTGTTCATTTTCGGTCTAATTGTCAATATATGTCGACGGGAAACGAGATTTGACTGTTGAAGTGGTCAAAGAAACTCGTTTGCTCGTCCACCTATTGATAATGCAATTTCCTGGAAATAATTCAGTGATCACTTGTAGAGATACAGTCCTTGTGCATGCAAGTCTTCTGTAAATATGTTGAAATCGTTTTTCATTGAACTGTGTTCTTCTTAATAAACCGTTTTCTAAAAAATGTTTTGGAAAAAAAGCTATCGTAATCCTATGCTATCGATAGCTACTGTAGAGTTTTTAGAGAACTCTTCAACTAAAAGGAACACAGTCCCAATCATTGACTCATCTCCAAGATAAATTATTTCTTCTCACATTTCAAAATCGCACCATCAACAAGAAAAGAAAAAAAGAAAACCTGATTCGCCGGAAAGATTCAGAAAAAGGGGATGAGAAGACAGCTGTTTTGTTCCAATGATAAACTCTCCAGGAATTTGTATGGAAAAGAAATGAAAAGACAAAAAGATCGTGGTGATGGGGAAGAAATCAAATCCACCAAAAAGCCCAAAAGTGGGGAAAAGCTACCGTACCCTGGCTTGAGGTGGGCCTGGAAAAGTAGGCTTGTTGAGGCTTGCGCTAGCATCAAAAGGGCTTCAGGATTACGGTAGGAGCACCTTTGTAAACGCATGCTTAAGCGCTATACAGTATTTACTCGGAATTGTTCAAATGCACAATTTGCAGTTAGCCGGAGGAATACTTGTCGAATGCAAGCAATATCCAAATGGCACAATTACTTTGAATGGTATTGGGAAGGGATTCCGGATGCACGGATTCTGAGGGCGGAAAACACAAATTCGGTAGGCGAAAGACAGAAAACACTTTGAGATTCGATGAATTTCAGGTGAGAAATGGATTCAACGAAAGCACTTCCAATTCACTTGCAAATCCCACGGTGAAACACAAATGATCGGTTGTGTGATTCCAGAAGTGAGTGGCACTGTCTTTTTCGATCTTTTCTTGGAGAACAAATGAAAATTTAGGGCCAAGTCATTCCGTTGAACTCGAAATTGACCGTCGGTTTGATGGAATATCAGTGAGTCCCTTTGCTTTCATAAATAGATAAAACTTTCCAAATGGAATCTTTTTTCGACTGCGAGATCAATGGATCACTGAAATTCTACGGAAAGCCAAAAGACCAAATTTGAGATAAACATTAGAATATGATTGCTCGGAATGCATTTCATTGTAAACTTTACATTGTTTCTTGAATTATCCAAGTCACCAGCACAAAATTTATAAGTAAATGTTATAAGCACTCAAATTGTTTGTATAAGCAAATGTTAACCCCAAATATTTATTCAGCTCCCGGAAATATATTTATTGGCACGAATTGCGTGGAGAAGGCCCATAGGGTGGCTATTCTGTGAAACATCCATCATTCCTTGTCAGCGGTGAAGCGACGCTTCTTCTAAAAAACCTGATAACATAACAAAGATACAAACAAATGTCACCACTGAGCTTTGACCACCGGCAGAGGACGGAGTGGTTGCAGAAAGATCCGAGAGGCTTCCAGAATTCTAAGTTGCAAGATTAAGTGAAAAAAAAGCGCAATGCGTACCTGAGATCCCGAAGGGCTTGAGGGCATTTGGTTCATCGCAGCAGAAGGAAGCGACTTCTAAACAAACAATTTAAATAGCAAACCAAAGAACGTTAACGAAACGAAAAAACGCAAAGGAAAACACACCTCAACCGAGAGCCAGAAAGTATTAGGTTGGCAACTAAATAATGGCCCTCGCCCTTTTTTGATAAAATCTTTTAATCTTTGCGTTTAATCTACCCTCGCTTGTTGTTAATTGAATATTACTGAATTTCTGGTGCATTATTATACGTTTTTTACTTTCCTTGATTTGATACTTTTCAAATAATTTTGTTTAGAAATGGAAGATCTCAAATATCGAATGCGTGTCTGTCTCTGGTACGACTACAAACAAGACAAAACAGCTGCCGAATCCCACAGAGATTTATTGCGAGTTTTTGGCGATGAAGCTCTTTCCGAAACACAATGTAAGAGATGGTATCGACGGTTCAAGGAAGGGGATGAAAGTCTTGAAGATGAGCCTCGCCAAGGACGACCCGAACTTCTGCAGAACGATATTTTGGAAGCAGCTTTAAAGGAGGATCCAAGTCAAACATCACGCGAGCTAGGGGGGTCGATTGGGCTTTTCGCATACTGCAATCGAAAAGCGACTTCATGCATTGGGGGAAAAGTAACCGCAGTGGAAAGTGGATTTCGCATGAATTGAGCGAAGAAAATAAGGCTACTCGTGTTATCACAGCTGGAATACTACTAAAACTTGCGAAAAAGGGAAGCTTCTTGGATTCCATTGTCACTTCTGATGAAAAATGGATCTTTTATGATAATCGAACGCGAAAACGACAGTGGCTTAGCACAAACGAAGACCCAAAACCAACTCCGAAGCCGGATATTCACTCAAAGAAAACTCTCCTCTGTGTGTGGTGGAGTTCTCGTGGGTTGGTGCATTTCGAGGTTCTCAAAAGCCGGCAAACGGTTAATTCAGAACTCTATTCGTCTCAACTACATCGTGTAGATCAAGCAATTCGCTCTCAAGGACTCGAACCCTCTTCAATTCATTTTCTCCATGATAACGCAAAACCACACACTGCAAAACTTACAATGGAGAAAATCGAGGAGTTGGGCTGGAATGTTCTTCCTCATGCGCCATACAGCCCGGATATGGGGCCTAGTGATTACCATCTTTTTCGATCGATGCAACACTTTCTAGCCGAGAAAAAGTTCAATGACCTTGACGAAGTCCGAATTTCAGTGCAGAAGTTCTTTGACGATCAACCAGAAGAATTTTTCAAGAGAGGAATCCAGTTGCTCCGTCAGAAGTGGAAAGAAGTAATAAAGAATGACGGAGAATACCTTTTGGATTGATGTTGATATTTGTTCATCTTGTTAATAAATTTTTTGTTTTTACTGAAAAGGGCCATTATTTAGTTGCCAACCTGATATTTTCAACCCAATCAACAATTGGAGAGACATTCAAACATCGCAAAGCGTTGACTCCCAAAATGTTGACATTTTTGAAGTGAGCATCAAGTGGGGAGACTCTACATGGAATGCGGCTGTTTTGATCCTAAATATTTCGAAAGCATTGATGATCTTAAACAAAAGTAAAACGAACCTGGATGGCTATCCATTGTTCACCATTGTCCACTTTTGGACCAAAGACGGCTTTCCACGTCTTATCAGTGAGCAAAGTGATTGGAGCGCCAGTATCGACGATAAACCACACGTTGATGGCTTTGGAATCGTGGCGTCCAGCTTCTTGAACGATTAGCGGGATCATAAAGCGCGAGTTGTCTTGACCACTTAATTTGCCCTCGACTGGAAATGAGGTAGTAGTGAATCTTCCGAGACTCAAATGCTTGATTTTGTGTGCTGCGCCAATCTATAATTACAAAGTTTAGAAATATTCCTAAAAGAAAAGCATACCTTCTCCAACACTTCTTCATTTATATCCGTGATCAAGACATCGAACTCATCAGATGGCACGGCTAACAATTCAGTGACTAACACAGTCTAAACAAAAAAGTTAGGCGAATGAAAATTAAGTAACTCACCGAGCGTCCGCGCTTTGCCACACGCTTCTTGTTGGAACGGGAGGGGCCCGATGCGGAGCGACTACGAGTTGAACGCGAACGAGAGCGAGAACGAGATGCGCGCTTGACTTTGGAACGGGTAGCCGTCACCACTGAAGCCGAACGAGAGCTTTGACCACCGGCAGAGGAAGGGGAGGACTCAGAAAGATCGGAGAAGCTTTCAGAATCCTAAATTTCAAGATTAAATGAAAAAAAGCGCAATGTGTACCTGAGATCCCGAAAGGCTTGAGGGCACTTGGTTGACCGCATCAGAAGGAAGCGATTTCTTAACAAACAATTTAAATAGCAAACCAAACAACGTTAATGAACAAGCAAGGAAAACACACCTTGTCCACGCGACGTTGACGTCTCTTATCAATACGGCGAGCTCGAAGGGCTTGATGATGAGGGTCAGCAAGGTAGTTGAAGATCGAAGCTCTTGGGGCAGCTGGAGTGCGCGAACGACCCGAACGAGAACGAAT